TACCTCAGGGAGATTTCAAAACTTGAACTAATCCAGAGAAGGGCCACAAAGTTCATGCTGTCGTTTCCTTCATGTAGCTATAAGGATCGGTTGTCCCAACTACACCTACTACCTCTAATGTACCTCTACGACTTACAAGACCTATTCCTAGTGAAATGTCTCTTACATCCTCCGGACAATTTTGATGTTTTACATTTTGTATCTTTTTGTGAGTCAGGTGGTACTAGATCTACTAGCTATGGTCACTTAGAAGTGAATTTCAAGAGGACCTCTACAACAAGACATTTCTACTTCAACAGAGTGGTGCGACTTTGGAATTCTGTTCCCCCGTCATGTCTGGACCTAAATCTTTCTTATGAAACAATAAAGTCTCGATTAATAGTTCACTTCTGGTCTCACTTTGAGTTACATTTTTCCTCCAACTCTGTTTGCTCTTACCACTATCTATGCCCGTTTCAAGTGTTACATTGCATAAATTTTATTTTTAACTTATTTTTTCTTTATTAATTACTTCACTAATTCTGTTTTAAATCCTATTTCTAAGGCTGTAACACTAGTTGTTGCCGTCCTTCAGCATTTCTAACTTTCTTTCAACTTTTGCAAATTGTAATTCTGTACTAGTGCTGTGAAGTTTCAATAATAATAATAATAATAATAATAATAATAAATACTTACATACATAATGTACATACATACATACATACACGTACATACATACATACATACATATTGTACATACATATATACATATATACTTACATACATAAAGTACATACATACATACTTGTACCATAGGAAGCCATAAGATGAAAGTGCCGCGCAGTGGTGTATATATGATACACCAGTGAAATTCCTCATACACCAGGGAAAGAGGGGATCCCGTGAACTTTGACCTTTTGCTCAGGACAGTGTTATCCTGAAAGGTCCACCGGTAAAAAATTGGGAAGAGTGCCCCGAAGGAGTCTCTCCCTTCAAAACCTTAAAATCAAGCTGAGCTTATAAGCCAGACTTTTGTATCAGGCTATTGTGGGTCTCAAATTAGAGAAAGTATGATGTAAACTTCCTGCCAGAACAATGAATATCATTAAGAATTGCCCTTGTGTAAACTGACAAGCTGACCACGTGCAAGGCTATTAAAATGGCGTCGCCGCTTGAAAAAGTATTTTCATGATTTTGCTACTACTGGACAATTTCTAGCAATCTTATGGAGACAGGTAAGCCTAAATATTCATCATTATGCCTTCCTATGGTATAAAAAATATGGAACATGGCTTCTTCTGGGTTTATTAGATATACATCTCCAATGATATTCATAATCACTCGGGCTACGCCCTCGGGATTATGAATATCATTTTCGGTGTATATCTGATAAACCACTCGAAGCCATGTTCCATCTATTACATACACGTACATACATACATACATGCATATACACATACATACATATTGTACATACGGATATACATATATACTTACATACATAATGTACATACATACATACATGCATACATACATACATATCGTACATACGTATACTTACATACATAATGTACATACATACATACATACACGTACATACATACATACATAAATATTGTACATATGTATATACATATATACTTACATACATAATGTATATACATACATACATACACATACATACATACATATACACCTACATACATATTGTACATCTGTATAGACGTATATACTTACATAATATACATACATACATGCATACATACATACATACATACACGTACATACATACATGCATAAATATTGTACGTATGTATATACATATATACTTACATACATAATGTACATACATAGATACATACACGTACATATATACATACATAAATATTATACATACGTATATACATATATACTTACATACATAATGTATATACATACATACATACACGTACATACATACGTAAATACATACATATTGTACATACATATATACATATATACTTACATACATAATGTACATACATGCATACATACATATATACATACATACATACATAGTGTACATACGTATATACATATATACTTACATACATAATGTACGTACATACATACACACATAAGTACATACATGTTCAGTACTTGCACATTACATGTACATAAATACAAACATGTTCATAAATGTACATACAGATGAATGCATATATACAATGCATTTATGAATGACAATTGCCCTATACACACACCTTTAGAGTTCCAAACCGGTTAAACCATCGATTATAACAAATTTTGTCACACAATAGCTCATTCAATCAATAACAGTAACTTCAAATGCATAAAAATTGATACACACTACAATATTATGAAGAATTAGAAGCTGAATTTACTTGTTTAAGAGAAAAACAGCAAATTTGTATAAGTTCAGTGTCTGGCTCCATTTTGATAAAAGTAGAAGGGTAAATACCTTTCTATGACAACTAGGTGTGTTAATTTAATGGTTCAAGTGTGTGTGTTGAAACAGCACACTTCGTGTGCTGTTTTAGTAATTTAGCACACCTACAGGCAAAACAACATAGTAAAATGTGTACCAAATAACACACTAGTTTTTTGTGTGCAAAGCTATAGCAGTGTCAGTAAAGATCGATAGTTGTTACAAGCAAAGACGAATCATTAAAGAGTTGGTCTAAATACTGTTTGTGATTCACTATCCTTTGTAAAAAGATATTACTTACCTGTCTTCATGATATTGAGATCATAGTCAATTTGAAATGGAGATAAAGGAGGACAACTGCCAGCAAACCAGCCTTCGTAAAGGCAATCGCGAGATTGAGACCACACCCAAGTGATGCCCATCAATTTTTTTGCACCTCTTATGCAACAAACAAGAAAAAAAACTATTATTTTGACATCTAGCAATACAAAATAAAAAAATGCATGATGCATAATCATTTGTAATCCCTGTGCTACCATTAGACAGTCTTAATTAGCAAACTGCAAGACAATAAAACCATTTGCCAGCACAATAAAGCTGTCAGTCATTATCACTTTTCCTTTGTTATAAGGTACAGAAAAAAAACAATGAACTAAGGACCTAGATATGAACCTCATCAATCTCTGTGTAAAGTGATGAATGTAGGAATTGCACTCCGATGTAGTAATAGCAGCTTGTCTGTACTCTTTGTTTGGTCTCCTCGGTATGATCAATTTCATTGAGCGCAACGAAGACATGGCTGTCTTTCTGAATCATGCTGGGTTGGTTCGTCTTAAAGCGTATTCAGACCAACTCTAACATAATTTTTCTTTGCATGTAACAACTATCTTTACTGACAATGCATACAGGCTTGGTGTCACCATCTGCATTTTATCTGTCAAGGTACCTAAATATGAAAACCAAAGGATTTTGTTTTCACAAACCTTCGCAGTAAGTTTTTACTTATGTGTCTTCAAGATCCTGAGATCCAAAAGTATTTGGAAGATGCGTAAAAGGAGGAAAACTGTCAGGAATCTAGATCTTTGTGACCACACCTGAGCCACACCTATCGTTTTTTACCATGCCTTCATGTTTCACTGGCCTGAGTGGCCTCTACTTACATCTATGGTCTTACATAGGCTTTCAGGTGAGTTCATAAAGTTAAGTACACTTTTTATCTTTATCATTGATTTCTGATGACCTGTAGTGTAAAATGGACGCACACACATAGTAACAACTTCTTTGGTGACCCCGTGGCACTAAATTACTGGATAGTTTACAAGAGATAGATGCTAACATTTTAGAATAACATGATGTATGACGTGTTTAGAACTAATTTGGACAGAAGTAAGGCTTATGCACTGTTATATGCATAATTATCATTGTTGTTTCTTTCATTTCCACGTAGGTCAAGTAACTTAGTGCTGTACTGGGAAAGGAGATCAAAATGTAAAAGGTAAGGTGTATGTGTTAGCATTGCATTTGTGTGCTACTATTGTATGTATATAGGCCTGGTTTCCACATAATTATTATACAATAGCCTTGTTACACTTACAACAAGAATGGAGATAGAAATCAGGTCTATCTCAACAGCAAATGTATGCTAACCACAAAATTCATACAACAGCCACAACTATGCCGATGAGCTCATCTAACCACAAAATTCATACAACAGCCACAACTATGCCGATGAGCTCATATAATATCAGATTCACTTTGTAACATAGATAACCATTGGTATTGATGACATTAATGTTTACATGTA